ATTTGTAGAGGTAAAAGCCTCTAGTCAAGTCTACCTTGTGGGGAAATATACATCGATCAAACTCGGTCAGAAGTAACGAAACTGAATACGACAGTGCGATAAAATGATTATCATTGTGGGGATCAAGTTTTCTATCCCCGCAAGTTTTCCGACGGCGATTCTTCGCTCGAAACGTCGCGGAACCATCGAGGTTGGCGATCAATCGCAATTTATTTACGCGACTATTTTATTCGCCTCGTCAATAGCGACCTATTCGCAGCCGAAATCGTCGCGGGCGGGGAGAAAAAGAGACCGAGAGGAAAAACGGGGAGGAGAGGGAAACCATTAGCGAAGAATTCGCAGCGTTCGCCAAAAATGCAGAGGGCCTCGTCGGATCCCGTCGTTTTACTCGTTCCGCCTTGCTACTCTCCTCCCGGTCGAGGAGGTCAACTGTTTTATTGGCCAAGGGTCGCGGCGCACGCCCTCGGAGCCACGGTTTCGGTTAACCGAGCCAAACCCCCGAAATCGGAGCGACGAATTATCGCCTTGGTGAACCTCCGCGCGCGCAGACCGTCTTTTTCCTTTATTCGTCGTCGCCACCTATCGCGCCGGATGTCCCAGTTCCCTTGCTCCGTTGATTAAAAACTGCTAGCCGAGCGCTTGCAATTTTCCCCGAGAAATACCGTTGTCAGCAGGATCACACGTTTGACGTTTAGTAGTAAACGGGGTTGTTTGATCATTGCGCTCATGCGGTAAATGCTATCTTCGTATCAGAGAAGAGATAAAGAGGGAGAGAAAAAACGAGCGAATCGGATTCAATAATGCGTCAGGAGAGGACAGTCTCTTGTCTTTGTACATTGAACGTAAAACTTACTGCTCGTATCGATAAACTTATAATATCGAGAAACCCTTTAGTCTTCCTTCTAAATTAATAAAAATTTCTTTCGAGCACCAACGACGGTGCGTATCTACGCTTTCACGTGGCCTGCATTGTGGTATCCGCGAGGGATGCATGTGGACGTGTGATTGTCGCATTTTTCGCATTCTTATGAAATATCAACTCGCCGTACGCACATTACGCGTCTGATCGCCACAAGCCAACCTAATAGCACTGCAATTCGAGTAGCGCGAGAAGAGAAAAAGGTTTCCGCCGCCGCGCGTACGAGAACGACGAGCGGACGGAGCGCTTACGCACGTGTGCTCACGCACACACAAGCGCGCGCGCGCGCGCGCACACACACACGTACACACGGCTCCGGCTACACGCCGGCGGGCCCGTGCTTGTACGGGACCTTTAGCGGCTCGCAAGCCGCAGTCGGGACGATCAATGACAACCTCTCTCTCTCTCTCGCTGCGTCCTCGTCAGATTCACCGTAAGCATGGTTAGTCCGCTTTCTCTCTCTGTCTCTCCACTCCCTCTTTCTCTCTCCCTCTCACTCTCTAGGCTTCGTAGCCACGAGAGAGGAAGATGGGGAACGACGTAGCGAGACGAAAAGAGAGAGGAACGCTCCCTCTCAATCAAGATAGACGCGCGAGAGGCTTAGCACCGGGAGAGGAGGCGAACACGAGCGGTGGCGGCGGCATTTCTCTCCATGAGGGGAGCAAGCGAGAACGTCTCGAAGCCACAGCCGACGGAGCCCGACGAGAGGGGAGACTTATACCGCTTCGGGTCTCGGAGTCGGAGTCTCGTAGTCGGTGAGCGGGGGCGGGGCGCGAGGGAGGGAAGGAAGGGTGGCCGGTGTAGAGACTGTGGTGCGAGAGAGATGGGAGGAAAGCGCGGAACCATGTAGCGAGACGGAGAAGAGAGCAGAGCGCGAGCGACCGGTAGACGGTACACGGAGCGGGACGAAACAACGAGAAAGGACGTAGAGAGAGAGAGAGAGAGAGAGGGAAAGAGGAGGAGAGGCGAATGCGGAACGGGAGGAAGCGAGGCAGGACGGACGGGGAGGAAGAGCCGCGGCCTGTCTGTGCCTCTGCTTCGGAAAGTGACTAATGACTAGCCGGCCAGACCTACTCTCCTGCCACCCTCGAGGCGAGCGAGCGAGCAAGAGGGACCGAGTGGTGCGGAGGGGAGGAGGAGGAGGAGGAGGAGGAAGGGCTCCTCTCTCCCGTGAGAGTTATCGCGGTGGCGAACCTTTCCTCTCCGCCGTTGTTATCTCGTGGCCCTCAACGACGGTCAACCGTGAAAAATGAGTGTCGCGAGCGGGTGATATTTTGCGGGACGCCGTGGCGAAGGACGGAAATGGAGCGGGAGAGAAAAAGAGAGGAAGAGAAGAAAGGAGGATGGGAAATCTCGGAGGCACGCAAAATCCCGTGGATGCTGCCGCCGCCGCCGCTGGGCGGGATGGACGGGGGAGGATGGATCCTCTGCGCTCCGACCACCCGGGACAGTGAATCCCGATCGATGGCGGACCGAGGGAGGGCGGGCGGACGGGCGAGCGAGCGGAGCGGCGGAATTCTAAGCGCGCCTGCCGCGCTCTTCCTTTTCCGTGAGAAAGAGTGCCGCTTCGGCGCCCAGAATCCCACGGCATCGCGACGCGCGCGTCAGAACCTCGCGAACGGCAACAGTAAGGTGTAACTAATACAACCGCAATTTTAGAAGGGACGAAGGAAAAGATACCTGACGTCTCTCCCTTCTCCGTTTAATCCGCATTTGCGGATTGCTCGCGACGAGATTCGCCACACCTGCAGATTTAATTTCTTTGACATATCGTTGCGCAGGGATTAAAGTGCAGACGATATCCCTTGATCTAGCATTGATCGTAGTTCCGTATCGCGACTCCAAAATCTACGATAGCGACAAATGCCCGACGAAATTCGTTGATTTCGGCGATTTATCGGTGTGAAAGCACCGAATAAAATAAGGCTCTACTCCCGCTGGCGAATCGAAGGAACTTGAGGCGCGATATCTGATTTTTGCGAGATTGGTGGTCGAGTTACGTGACGTACGCTACGTTAGATAGTACTGTGAAAGCGTCCGCCTCTCGCGATAGAGTGAAATGTAATTGAGCAACGGGGAAAAAGTATACGCTGCGAGAGAGCGTCGTACTGTTCTACACCTCTCACAGATGTACGAATGATAGCGGCATCGGAGCTCTGATAGAGAAAACGATAGTGGCGGGAGAACAAAAGCGTTCGCGACAAGCGCTTCTCAACGATGTTTGAGGGCTGCACTTGTCAGTGCTGCAAGAAATCATCGCAGGTCGTCGGGATGAAATTACAGCGATAGGTTTAAGTCTCTCGTTAAGCGAGCGTTTTGAAGGCGCCGCCCGGTGTCGAATCCATCAATTTCATCCACCGAAAATATAAATCGGTTTTACAGATTAGATTATCGCGCCGTTTACCGAGGTTATCTGTAATCTCACGACCAGTTTAATCAAGACATTCCGACGCGAGTAAATCGCAGGATATTCCCGGAATATCCAGCGCAGACTCGATAGGGTGTACACGATGACGTGGTGCTGTGTAATAGCGAATTCGGTTGGATGCGGTAGTGCGCACTGGCGCACGTTAAAGGCCGTCGTACACAAATCGACGTAAAGGCCACGGTACATAAGCGAGTCGGGCCACGAGAGGCTCTCGGTGCAATCTGTCGCATTGTTCGGCAGAATACACGCCCGGCGTTTCGTCAATCGGGGTGTTGGTATCGCGCTTTTAAATCCAGATCTATTATAGCGCTCGACAGGCTTTAATCTGGAGCAGAGAGCGCGCCTGGTGCATCCAATCGAATTCGCCGTGAGTAATTTAGCACGTTATCGGACGGCCTTAAAGTAGCGTATCAGACGTACACGAGGAAGCCTGGGAGCGAAGCGAGAGAGAAAGAGAGAGAGAGAGAGAGAGAGAGAGAGAGAGAGAGAGAGAGAGAGAGAGAGAGAGAGAGAGAGAGAGAGAGAGAGAGAGAGAGAGAGAGAGAGACTCTCGTGGGTTTCGTTTTGCCGAATTCCGCGGCGAGAAGACGCGGATAGAAAATCGCGGAAGTGTTACCGACCGAAGAGGCGAACGGCGCCGTGCAAGCGGTCCCTCTCTTTCTCCTCCTCTCTTTCTCACACTCACTCCGGGCTTGGCAAAGCTCCGGAAACTGGATCGAAGCGCCGTTGCACCGATGGAGAGCGTCGACGGATGAGGCGGCGGCAGCGGCGGCGGCGGCGGCGACGGCGTCGGCTACCGGCCGCACCGTTGCAGGCGCGTATACACATAATTAGACGCAATTAAGCGTTCGCCTTATCTGCACACGGCGAGATCTCTTTCTCCTTCTCTCTCTCTCTCTCTCTCTCTCACTCTTCTCACTTACTCCCCAAGCGTGCCGCACCCGAGATCTCTCGCGGTTTTTCTACTCGCCGTGGAGATAAATCCCACCGACCAATAAACCCCGCGTTTCAGTGGGCCGCCGCGGTAAGTTCGCTTCTTCACGGTGGGTTGCCGCGTGCAAAACGACCAATCCGCGCGAATAGAAGCTCGAAAGTCAATTTTCCAGGAATAAGGATAAGAAAGTAGAATTTACGGGCTGTATATATATAGGACAGTTTCGTCGCGACGTTATTACCGTTCTCCGCGCACGGTTAGCGCGTGGTATAGTGAAATTATTGCAACTGCGTACCTTCTCTGATCGTCTTCTTTGAGAATATCGCTTGGAAAATGCAAGAAATACTAGAAGAAGAACGTTTGATGCATTAATATATCAAACTTGGCCACGCCAGTACATACGCGCTACGTTAGAGGTGAAAGCCTGAGAGGCGTGAAAAATCTATTTGATTTCATCCAGGTCCCTGCATTTCATGCTAAATAAGCTCGACAATGGTAAGAAACGCGCGAAAGCCACCGCGACGCGTTCCGACGTAGAGCTTATCAGACGCGCTTCGTTTATCGGTTGAATCGCGTCCTCGATCGGCGAGAGAGAGATGATATCTCGGTGCCTCCCGCAAACGCTCGCTAACTTAATCCTTTCGGCCGCTCGTGGGTTCTACCTGAGGGACGTCTCTCGCGCTTACGGCAGGCAGGCTAATCCGCTTGGATGTACTCACCTTGTTGTGCGGCAGCTGCGTGGGCACGTAGAGCGGCGGATCCAAACCCGGACTCGTGACGGCGTGACGCCCGATAATCCTGTCGGCCGCTTTCGCGTCGTAGCCTTCCGGCTGGCCAATGTGAAAACCTTTGCTCTTGACCCAGAAGCGGAACTTGCTGTTCTCGGCGCTGTTCACTTCCTCGCCCCGTAAAGTCCTCAAGATACGCGCGTACTTCTTGATGGTGATCGTCTTGGTCTTGGCGAGATCGCCGTACGTCTTGATCACCCACGGCTGATAAGCGTTGAACATGCCGTCGTTTTGAAATTTCCTCGGCGACGCGACGGCGGCCCCGTCAACCCCCTTCGGGCCTTGTACCTTTTGCACGCCGTACGGGCCGCCGTTCACATTCGGCGACGACAGTCCCGAATACGACATTGTCATTCCACCCTTCGCGTCCACCGCGGCGGCACCGCTCGCCGCGTATCCGCCGTTCAGCGAGTTCGCGGCGCCGGAAGCAGCCAACGAACCACCGGTCATGTTGGAGATGTCGAGGTACGAAACGGACGAGTTCTTGCTGAGATTCGTGGCGGTGCCGACGAAGGTCGCCATGGAGGTCGACATGTAGGGTGGAATCGGCGTAGGTGGCATGCCGAGGCTTCCGGCGCACAGGCCGGCCGTTTGTCCGCCCGTCAAGCCCAGCCCGGCCACGGAAGCGTACGACGGCACGTCCGACATGTTCGACGTGGTCGGCCAGCTAGTCGAGAGCACGGAACCGTTCGATATATCGTTCGTCGAGGAGGCCGCGCTGGCAGCCGTCGAAGTCGATGACGATTTGGTCTGGGTGGCCGATCTTGAGACGGAAGTCCCGCGACTCTTCGAGATCTGGCTGTCGGTCGAGATACTCGTGCTCGTCGAGATGGAGGACGAGGAGGTGGGACAGGACGAACTAGTGCCCTTCCCTCCGCTCGTCGAAGTCCCGCGGGACTTCTTCGTCGGTGGCTCGTCCCGAGTGCCGCCGTTCATCGAGTTCAGATTGCCGTGGGACGGGCTGTTGTTGTTCTCGCTTCTCGAACGCTTGCTCGACGACGACGCGCCCGTTGTCGTGGACAGTGATTGGCTCGAGGGAGTCGGCGAGTTGTTCACCGGTGCTCTGCGACGGAGGCCCATCGTCGTCGCGCTAGCCATATTGTGCGTGTTTACGTGTCGCAATCGGGCTTCTGTTCACCGTTATCCCGCGACCGGCACATGGATACTGACCAGCACACTTGGAGCACACTAAGATCACACCACAGAGATCATTCACGATCACTCGGAACACCGCGTTTGTTCGTACGAGATGACGACCAGTCACTCGCGGCAGCGACGGTCCACGCCGGTATTGCTCAACAAACACCTCGGCGTTCTCCTCCGGGAACAGCAAGGTGATGCTGCGTCCCTGGAAACAAAAGAGGAACGAAATGTGACGAGGAAAATTAGCTATGCGCAATTAAGCGGCGGAAACGTTTAAGCGCGAGGGGCGCCGCTAATGGACTACTAGCCGAGTGGGTGGAGACTATCGCCAGTGGGAGAGGTAGATTATAGCTGCTCGGGGATATAATACGCGGCAGAAATTCACTCGGGAAATTGACTCCCGTCGCCTTCTACCTTCTGCCCGATAATAGACGCGCGGCGTGGCGTCTCGCGCGCGCGGAACTCTCACTGCGAAAACTCTCCGTTTTAAGCGATTCGATCGCTCTCGACTCCTTCGAGCTTGTACGTCGGAGGGATCGTAGACCCGTTAACACCCAGCGAACGCGGCCGTTTATTTCGAAACGCAAGCAAGAAATTTCGCTGAAATGAGTGGAGTTGGTTTGCGTTTCTAGCTCACTTCTCGATATTTGCTTTCTTCGGAGCTAAACGGTTTACATATCCCGCGTACTTTTTTTCTTTCATTTTTAAGAGCACAACTGAAATATTGTAGTTACGAATAATGCGAATGGAAAGGAGGGGAAGGATCAATTACCGTCGCTCGTGGACATTATTCGCGCCTGAGGTAGAAACCCCGTGCCTCTTCGCGTATATCACGTTTCAGCTCTAACCGCACATGAAGAAATGGGGACTTTTCGCAAGAGCGGCATTAAGGATAGTCAACGACGTTGGCACAATTAGCCAGCAGCTTACACGACGTATGTACTAGACGCGGGGGAAACCGGTTAGCCGCCGCGACCTTCCTTTCGCGCGTGGGCCATTTTTGCGCCTCGCGCCACTGCATGACCGAATCGGACTAAAATATAATATACCGCCATGTGTCGTTCAAAAAGGAGAAAAAACGCCCTGATGCAGGACCGAACGGTTATTGCTCTCAACCTCCTGCAGCGAGAGAGCCGTGGCGGTGGGGCCGGAAAATAATGAGATATAACGACCTAAAAATGAAGCCACCCCTTCGCACGGTTCTCACCCCCCTGGATACGCACATCGGCACCCTCCGATGTCACGCCCTCCGACGAACGTTTTATCTCTCGCTGTTCTATCTCGCGAAATAAAACTATGACGATCCCGTCTGTGCTCATACGCCGAGTGTGTAAATTTTGGTAGCGGGGTGGGATGTGTTCAAGATCACCGCAAGTGTATCGAAGATCACGTACACATTACGGATAAACGCGGTCGAGCGGTACAATCCGCAATCGGCGGCGCGTACCTAAGAGCAGGAGCTAATTCAATAAGCTCGATCGACTGGCCGTCCACCTTGGGTAGTTCGCTAACGGCCCGAGGGCGACACTTAAAGCTCCCTTGGGTCGCAGAATATCAGGATAATCCTCGAAATACTGGGCCGGCGAGTCGTACCGCCGTGGCGAAAGGATATCAAAATGAAATCTCTCGGCGGCAGTCAATTCCGTCGGTGCTACTTTGGGCTGTGCCAACGCGCAAATTGTTGAAAATCGCAGAGGACGTACGACGAGAACGACTGGAGCTAGGATGGACGTCGGATAACTGCTTCGATAAGTAGATTCTAAAGATATCGGGGACGGAACTAGATAGAGAATCGTATTTTACATGCTGTCTGTATAAAAATGGCTTGTAAAATAATAATTAAAGGTGGCGAAACAATCAACGATCTCTCTCTCTGTGTTATTTTCACTGATCGATCAAATCAACTGTGAACTCTAATAAAACACTACATAACAAATAAAATTTACAAAAAAAACGATTAATTTATCTCTGATGTGCGCAATAATTGTTTCAATGCGGATTTACATAGATAATTATCAAAATTCAATAATCGAAATTGTTTTATTGCAAACAAAGTTAGCCTAATATCGCTACAAGTCGATATTACTGACCGAACGCGAAGGAATATCTATAATAAAGATTAGTTATTCTAATGTCAACGATGCAGATCGAGATATATCCCTAATAAACACTCCAGCTTGGATCGCTCGATGCGCCCCGGCAGGAGAGTCACGCGATGAACTGGCATTGGGATGGATTTCTTATTTTCGCGATTATCGCCCTCGGGAATGTCAATCAGCGAGCCGACTGGTCGACCGGACCGAGCGATTGGGTTCCCCGAGTAAAATGGCAAACCTCTGCGGTTTACGGCAGACAATCGAGAAACAAGCCCGCTGGCGGAAACTAATTCAATGAGGCCGATCGAAGCGTCTAGCGCGGTGGCTGGCATAATGGCCGGGCCGCGATGTACGCGATTTCCTTCAATTGACAGCGAGCCGTAGAGGGAGAGAACGAAATGGAAGTCTGGATACGGTCGAAAAGTCACGGTGATATCATCGCCAGATAACCGACGTTGTCCTGTCGCGGAGATACGATCGCGCGAACGTGCGAAAAGGTTTATTTCGAGACCCGCGATCCCGCGGCGCCTTAATTAACGGCTCGATTAAGCAGTTATTAACTACCGCGGTCGCATTTAACCCACTCTGCTAGACCGCGAGCTCGCAGATAGAATCAATGGAGAGAGAGAGACCAAGGATAAAGTAGTATGGCAGAATATTTGTGCCGTTTATAGGTATTTTTAGAGACGGCGGTATTTTCTTAATTAAAATGTGAAAATTACTTCCTCGATGTGATATGCAATGAAAAATATCACATTTAATAGAAGTGAAAAAGATAGCGCGCGTGATCAGTAAACACCCATAGATATCAATGGTTTGAAAGAGCGATGATCAAACGGCGATAGTCAGGTTGTTTCGATCTTCAACGAACTCGTGTATATCACAGAAATCTTCATCCGGCAATTATCCAAGTTCTCATCTCGCGCAAGCTTGTTCGGTATTGAATTTAGGATTAAATCTTCGCGAGTGACTCCAGGACCTTGAGCGGCTCTCGCGCGGAATTTTTAAACGTGCCGAGAGAAGCTTAATAAGCGTCTAAAGCACGAGGTCGAAAATTTAATTATCCCGTCGCGTTCCGATTTCGTTGAACACAGTAATGCGCAAACGCTCGGACGGAAACCCGACGAGGTGAAAAAACTACGAGAGCCTGCATACGCGAGTGGGTGACCCGATTAGGTTAGCGGCGGGCTGCGCTTAGATAACTCGCGACGAACAATCGGGAGACAGACCCGACAAAGTCGAGCGGGTGACGGGGATGGGAGGGGGAAGGAGAGCAAATTCAATAAGACCGATCGAACCGTCCCCGTCCGGCACGGTAGCCGGTATAATGGCCTCGGTGCGCGATATATCCGCGCGCTCCTTTAGGTGGCAGAAACGGGGCCCCGGGACGGCGATATGTCTCGGCTTAGAGCCGCACACAAGTCACGTAGTGGCATGGGACCACCACCGAGTATTATAGCACGTCCCCTGCCGTCCCCGCCGGGTTCTCCCTTCTACCCCCTTTACCGCGTCGCTCTGTGTCTCTCTCTCTCTCTCTTTCTCTCCATATATCGTTCTCTCTCTCTGTCTCTCCCTTTCTGCGTCTCTTTCCTTCTCCTCCCCTCTCTCTCTCTCTCTCTCTATTCGTGTACATATTACTCGGCGTATAATGTGGGTGCCACTCGCACACTGAGCGACCGGGTGTCACGCTACGTGCTTCCTGCCCGTAGGCCATAGTGCGACAAAAGGCCTTATGTCCGCCCGCTCGTGGGACACTCGTGATCGCAATGTGTAATCAAGCTCGCATGGCCACTGTATTACCACGTACGCCCACCCGTTGTATGCGTGCATACGCGACAGTTTCGGTTATCCGTTTCCCGCGCAGGACACCACCGTCCTCCCGCTCCACCTCCTTCTCCACCCCTTCGTCCTTGTCCCACCCGCCGATCGGTTTCGTAACGGCAGTGTCTCGCGGCCGCTGATCGGCAAATTCGCGGCCGTTATTCCAACCGGAGAGAACCGAGTGTTCCCTTTTTCTTTATTATCGCAAGTAAAAGTGCACACACACACGATACGCGGAGTATTCCTGAAATAAGGTCGCCGGACTTTGAATGAGAAAAATCGAACGATTGCGAATTTAATTCGCTGCAGAATTTCGTGTGTCTCTAAAAATTTTAAGAGATACGATTTAAGTTAAACATTGCTTTTTTATTTTAAAGAAGCGTTCGAAATGATTTCCTTCCGTTCACATACACGTTTCACAAACCAACATTTCATATATATATATATATATATATATATATAGATTAATAAACTTGAGAATTTTGTTATATAGTTATTCTCTGTTCGTTTCGTAACATATCAAATTAATCAGGACACATCGAATGTTTCCAATTATTTGTACGAAAGAATAGTGCATTTATTTAAGTTTGCCAGTCATTCTTACTCCAGCACAGATAAAGATATTTAAAGATATAAAAGATATTTATAATTCGAAAAAAAAAGATTTTCCAATCTGGGATCTTTGTTCCATTTCTAAAATTGCATATAATATATATTTCCGCAATTTGACAATCTGTATCAGAGATATCATAGATGTTTTGACAGAGAGAGAAAGAGAGAGAGAGAGAGAAGAGAGAGATCATTCTACTTAATTTCAAGAACCACGTTTACGTCTCGCGCCAAATGTCACTCGCAGCAAACGGCGACACTTGAGCGAAAAGGACATCCTTTCCTTCTTGTTTAAAAAAAAAAGACCGCTCAAATTAGCGCAATTAGAGGCATATGCAATTGCCTCTTGAAACAAATTTCTATCTGTCAGCTGATGAAACTGAAAAGGACGGAGATACTTGTTATTCGGAAAGACACTCGCGTCTATCGGTTTATTGAGCTGACTAGAGTTAAGACTTTCCGCTGCCGCAAAACGGGTTGTTTACTCTGCAGTATTAAAATTTACAAATG